CGGGCGCGGCGGGCTCCGAGGAGCAGGTGAGCCGGCAGCGGGCGGCAGCCGGCGGGGTCTCTGGCGCCGGGCTGGCGCAGCTCACTCCGTGGCCCATTCCAGCCCCACGGCCCGCGGGAAGGCGCTGGGACCGCCAGCCACAGCTACTTCGTCAACCCGCTGTTCGCCGGCGACGAGGCGGAGGCCTGAGCTGGGCCACCGCGCCACGGCCGCAGCGCGTCCTTGCCCAGGGACCTGGGGGTGCTTGTCCCTTCCTCCACCCCCCCAGCTGGAGGCCAAGGACGGGGTGGCCTTGTCTAATAAAAGGGTTTCCTGCACTCGCAGTCAGTCACAACCTCCCCTGCTTCTCCCTCTCGTCACCAGTGAGCCCCAAGAGGCTTCCTACCTGCCGACTGGAACCCAGAGCTGAGGGTGGGCTGGGCAAGTGAGCAGAACCCAGAGGGGCAAGGCGGTGGCTGAGCAGGGGAGGCGGTACTAGGTAGGGGAGGGAAACAGAGTAGGGTGCCAAGGGCCCTTCATGCCAGGACCCTCACCTCTGCACATGGAGTGCACAGACCCACCCTGCGCTCTGAACTCAGCCATGTGGGCTGGGATACCAAGAGATCTGGAGCTTGCGTGGCCTGGTGGCCTGGGCCCAGGGTGCTGTCCTGGAGGCAGGGCACCTGTTCCTCTCTGGGGGCCCAGCCAGGACTGTCCGGGCAGGGGCGTGTCTGAGCTCCGGGGTGGGCAGACTGCAGTCATCAGGCAAGGCCACGTGCTGCCCTTGCACACCTGCTGTCCCCGGGTTGCGCTCACCTAGGGAGTGGATCCCCGCAGCTGGTGAGTCACGCTCATGTGTGCGCGCACAACTGTACCCAGGGGCACGGTGCCTGGTGCACCAAGGAGCCCCCGCCCCCTAGGTAGCCACTCCTCCTGCTTCTGAGATTAGGTCAGTTTTGCCTGTTTTTCGGCTCCCCCCTCCCCCCCGAGGACTCCCGCCGCTCCCTCGTGGCCACGTCTGTTCCGCACCCTTCCTGGGGGGCGTCGTGTCCGTGTGGCTTTCTATCATGTGATTGTTGCTGCCCTGACATCCCAACTAATAGCACCAGAGTACAGGGTGTAATGGCCCGAGAGTGTCGTCTTTAAGGGAGCAGACGCCCCATCTTTCTCCCTTGGAGCTGCTGGTGGGTTTGAACCGCCAACCTTCTGGTTAGCAACTGAGCGCTTAACCGCTACACCACCAGAGCTCCTTAGCGCGACCACCACAATATACTCATTCTGCCACAGCAGCTAACACTTCGCTTCTAAGTGAGTGCCCGGCACCTCCTCCTCCAGACCCACGAGGTGCTGTGCCCGCATCTGCTTGAAGGCCTGCAGTCTGACTCGCCGCTGGCTGCCTGCGGCCCCACACCGTCCCTTTCTCAGAGGCTAGCGAGCGCCCCAGGCTCATGTTTTCCCGTTGTTTTATGTGCTTCCAAGTCACTCTGATTCTTCTGAAGGTTCTCTCGACCCTGTGGCACCCTCACCACTCCTACTCACTCAGTCCCCATTCAGTATGTGGGTGGCTGTTGCGGCTCTTGAAGGGTGGGGATGGTGTGGCACAGGAACCCTGGGAGTGGTGTCACTGGCAGGCTTTAGGACCCGGAGCTGGATGTGCTGACCCGTCTGCTGGGTCCCGAGGACTGGTGATGAGCAGATGTGGTAAAGTGCGGCCCCAACCCGGTGGGGATGACCCCAGTGCTCCCCACTTATCCCAGCACCTGGGGTCTGCAGCTCGTACCAACCACAGCCAGGGGCCAGCATCCCGTGTGGCAGGCCTCCAGGGTTAACACCTGGTGAAGCCGATGGTCCCAACTGTCCACTTGTGCCACTCAGCCCATCACCTGCCCAGGTGCCACTCTGCCCTGTGCTCAAAGAGCCAACTCTACCCAGCCAACAGACCCAACCAGCACACCTAGGCCCTGCCCCTGGGGCAGTGCAGCTGAGCCGTCAGGGCCCCCTCGACACTCAGGTGCTGACCTGCCAGCCCCGCCTCCCCTTGAGCCCCTCCCACCTCCCCCATGACTTTGTCCTGTCTCGTTCCTTCCCTGCCTGTGCCCAGGTCTCGGTCCAATGGGCCCCCTGCTTGAGCTGAGACCCGAGACCCTGCAGCCCTGGCCAGATCCCCTCCCACCCAGGGCTCCCTCAATCGAGACCTAGCCACATGGACACAGGCCGACTGTGTGGTCCCCAAACACACTCACGGCGACACCATCACACATGCAGACAGACCCCTGTGAACTTTAAAACTGCTGTCCTCTTCTTTATTGACAGGTAAATTGTTCAAAACTGTCCTCACGGTTCAATAATTACAAAGACTCAGACTTACATTAAAAAAGTAAAAACCAGAACCCCCAGCAGGTGCCAGCCCCAGCGGAAGGCCCAGGAGGGCGGGCAGGGGCGAGGTGCGCAGGGAGCCCTGCCAGTCAGCGCCAGCCTAGACGGGTGCCCTGGCCGGCACCACAAGACCGCGGGAGAGCAGGGTGGCCCTGGTTGGGCTCTGGGACTGCCCGGGCCAGGCGACAGGCGGAGTCGGCTGCCAGTTAGTCATAAGCCTTTGATGACACGGGGTCACACCCCCGATGACTCGACACACAGCACAAGAGGTGGGATTAAATATGGGTGCGCGGCGCCGCTGCCATGGCCGGGCACGGAATGTGCAGGGGAGTCTACGTGATTGGTCTGGGCTACGAATCACGGGGTCTCCATGCAGGGCTGATGGGGTGGGGGTCCCAGCCCCTGCTGCCTGGGCCCCTGGGGCCCGCCTGCACCTCTCCCCCTGGCCCCGGGGTGGGGTTTATGCAGCAGCAGGTGCCGGGAGGCGAGGGGAGAAAACACAGCTGACTTCGCGTAATGGACACGGGTGACACTGGCTAGCACGCGGGTGGGCGGGTGGGTGGCAGCACTGGTCCCTGACTGAGAGGCCGGAGAAGGGCTTCTGCAGCTGAGCCTGCGATGAGGAAATAAGGAAAAGGCCACAGACTAACCTCCCCTGCCTGTGTCTCAAAATCCTCGTGACTCTGGGCGTCAACAGACGACTTCTGGAGTCTCCTGGGGCCCTGCATGCATCTCAGGACACAGAGTGTGTGTTTCCCGAGTGGCTGGTCTGTCTCAGCCCTGGGGGGGGCCGGTGTGGCCTCACAGCTACCCCGGCTGGAGCCAAGGCCGCACCATGCAGACATGCAGACGCCATGGCACAGCTCCAATCGTAACTGATAGACATTCGGCATCTCCTATCTACAGGACCACTCCACATCTCCTCGGATGACACCGAGGGTCTGCTCGCTCTTGGCACTGACAGGGCTGGCGTGGGCTCCTGGCTGTGGTGCAGGCAGCTGGTGGCTCAGGCGTCACAGGCTGGTGGCTCCAGGCCTTCCAGGGGCAGTTGGCTCCGGTGGGGGGAGTTGGGGCTCGGTGGGCCGCTGGGGTTGGAGCTGTTGGATGGGGTTGAGTGTTTGGTAGAATCCGAATCAGGCTATCAACACAAGAAAGGGCAGGTGAGTGTGCACGCCAGTGGGGAGGGCACATTCTGGTCCTGGTGCGGCTCAGTGGGACACGGTGTGTTTGGGGACAGATGAGGCATGTGCCTTCTGTCTCCTTGGGACATGCTGTCTACGAGCCACCCACCAGGCCCCCTCGTTGAGAGGCAACATAAAACCCAACGCCTAGCTCCACTGATGACTTAAGTCACCACAGAGGGCAGGCCCCCCTGGAGAAGAACTAGGAGACACCATAGCAGGTGGTCAGACGTGACCAGTGCCTAGGACACTGAGAGGATACCACAGCCCACGCGTGCGCCAGCGAGAACTGTCACAGAATATGTCAGCCAAGCCTGGCCAGCAGTGGCCTCTGAAATGACGGGCTGCCACCATCATGGCACAGAAAGGCAGGCTATGGGCCCAGGCTGATGAGAAGGGACGTCCTCCAAGGCAGGCCCGCTGAGTGCAGTGTGTGCCTGCGGACTGGATCTTGTGCCAGAACACACAGTGCTGGAAGGGACAGCACTGGGCTGCTGGCCCTGACCAGGGAGATCACTGTGTCGACGGGGAGCTGTGGGGACTGCCCACCAGTGCCATGGTTTCCTGAGAGAAGATCCTGACCCTCAGGCAGAGACACATGATGGATGCCACCTGCTCACCTAGCTCAGAGACCGTGTGCATGTGAGCGTGCAAGTGTGTGTGTGCACACATCCTCGCTAACCCAGCTGTCCCGGGGGGAGGCCTGCTAGCTGCTGGGTGTGGACAGACCGTGACCCTGAAGGAAAACACATTCTGCACCACAGCCAGCCGGGCTGTCTCTGAGCACAGCTGCAGGAACACGCTGGGCACAGCCAGGATAACAGCTGAGAGCTGACCACATGCCTCGCGGCCCCAGGGGGACTTGAGGGGAGGGGTCTGTCTGTGGGGGCCCTGTGGGTGAACACATAGGGCACCGTGACTCACACGTGGCTCCCATTCATAAATCTCATGGGTGTATATGGGGCCGCGACACTGAGACTCTTGGTCACGTGGTCCTTCCAAAAGTCAGTGGGGCGAAGTGGGGCGAGGTGAAGCGTGCTTGGGCGGAAGGTGTGGTCCCTACTCGTTTTTTCTGAGTTGTGTAATACGTAGAGCTGGAAGTCTGTCGTTTTAACCACCTTTAGTGCAGTGATGTCACTTACACTCACATGACCATCACCACCATCCGTTTCCCAAGTTCCCCATCACTCCACTCTACTATTCTTACAACTTTTCCGGAGGCTTCAAATTTTTCAGAATAAACACTGAGGGGGAAAAGGGAAAGGCAGGCAGAGAAAAAAGCCCTCCTGTAAGTGTCCCTAACCCCCAGTCATCTTGGGGGGCGCCCAGGCCTCAAGGACACAGAAGCCCTATGTCACCGCAACTGCTGCTGCAGCTAGTGGCCACGGAGTTGACTCTGACAGCGACTCTACGCACAAAAGAAAAGAACCCTGCCGGGCCCTGTGCCACCATCACAACCCTGCCACGCCTGAGCCCACTGCTGCCGTCACTGTCTTCTGCGTCCCTCAGACCGACAGCATGTCCTTAGCACCAGATCGGACAACATTCTACTGCTTTTCCTAAGTTTTCAGTGGCCGATTTTTGAGACACCTATTACCACATCCTTCTTCCAAGTCTGTCTTAGTCTGGAAGCTCCGTGGAAACCTGTCCACCATGGCAGACCCCTGCCAGTATTTGAAATACTGGTGGCATAGCTTCCAGAGTAATGGGAACACAGAAGCCACCACAGTATGACACAAACGAGTGGCGGGGCACTGCAACGAGGAGATGCAAAGCCTCCCAACTCAGTGCTTGGAGATGGCCGGACCCTGCACACAACCTGCCAAGATGGCAGGGAGACACGGACGGCTTCGCCGACAAACAGACTGAAAACTTGAAGTGAACTGTTTGCATACTGATCAACAGGCAGGGAGGGTTTCTTCTAAGGCTCTGGGAAGTCTGCCGTGATGCCCCATGTTAATGGGTGACGGAGAAAACCCACGGAGGCCACTCTGGAAACATCCAAAACCCCACCTGCTTAACAGTCATCACCGCTTCCTTTGCAATCGCCTACCAAGGCCGACCAGACACACTTCCTGAGCCGGAGGGAAGGCGTTTACCAGAAATCAACTGGGACCAGCTTAGTGGAGAAACTGCAGCAGCGGCCAGGTGACAGGTGTCAGGGACATGAGTTACCACCATTTGGGAGGCCTGGCCAGGGCACTAGGAGAGGGCCCTCCATGCATACCCACACGCATGCACACACACACACACACTCGAGGCACACACGCTCATTATACATACACTCATGAGCATGTGTACGTACATATGTGCATACCACTTAATATACGTGTGTACCCATGTGCACACAGGCACACACACACAATGCACACTGTCACACTGTCAGAGAAACACAACTGTCAAAGCCAAGGCCATCAGCTGGACACAGGACATGGTCAGTGGGCAGGAAAGTGGCCAGGCACACAGCATCCCAACGTCACCAGCCTGTATGAACTATGAACTCCAACCGCTCTACTCAAAATACTAACAAAAACCTTAGCACTTAGGGATACACTTGTTACAACCAACCCACACACCCCCAATGTGGAGGAGGAGACTTCAGATTTCCCACGGGGTGACAGGAGACCACGTTACCTGGGGGTGAGGGGGAGACAGGATACCTTGCGTTTCCCAGTAGGAGACAGGAGACCACGTGTTACCCAGGGGTGGCGGGAAACCTTGCATTCCCCATGGGACAGGAGACCTCATGCTCCTCATGGGGTAGACAGGAGAACACGTGTTACCCGGGGGGGAGACCTCACTTTCCCCATTGGGGAGACAGGACACCTTGTATTAGGTAGACGTGGGGGAGACAGGAGACCATGTGTTTCCCATTGGGAGACAAAAGGCCACGAGTTATGTGGGAGGTGGGGGAGACTTCACAATCCCCACAGAGGGGACCACTAGTTCAGAGATGCATTATGCTTCCCAACAGTAGAGTTCAGACAGGGAATGCCCCCAAAGAACCTGTAAATCCAGCCTAACCCCAAGAATCTCAGCATGACGGCTACTTTTTGATCATGAAAGTCACAGGTGAGCTATACAATCCTTTTGAAGAAGGAAATAAAAAATAGCTAAGGAACTGGCGAACAAAGGAAGAACAAGAAGTCCGTGGCAAGGGCAGGGGCGCAGGGACCATCCACCCACAGTGGGACACACAGGGACGTGGCCGCCGCCACACGCAAATGCGAGCTTCAACACGGAACGAGGCAGTAGGCCGGGAGGGAGGGAAAGGCGTGAGGTGGACAGCATGCCCGCCGTCCCACCCAGGCGCACGCGCACACGCATCCTCGCTCCCGTTCCCCAGGTGTAACAACGACCACCCTCGTGAGGGTCCCCTCCTCCCAGAGCCCCAGTATGTCCACTGCCCAGGCCGCTCCTCTGGGTGACGTACTCTCACCTCTTTGTCAAAGTCCTGGTCAGGGTCAGACATGCTCCTCAGAGGCACAGCCATGCTGGGCTCCGATCCTCCTGCAGAGCAAGAGGCTGTCTCAGGTGGCCACCCCCGCCCCACGCCCTCCTGCTCTTGGGGCCTCGCCCCCCCACCTGCTGTCCCACTAGCCGGCGCCCTCCGTACCTGACGCGGGCCACGAGACGTACGGCTTGTTTCTGGGTGGGGGCTGCCGGGCTACGCTGGTGGGGCCGGGCCTCTCCTCCTGCGTGGGGGGCAGCGCACTCTGGGCAGAGAGAGGGCGAGCAGCACCATGAACTCCCCTGGAGCGGGGCAGGTGTGCTGGGAGGCCGGGAAAGGCCCCTCCAGTCCCCCATGCAAAGAAGGAAGGGTTAAGGCGGCCAGCCTTCAAGGCTTCTAAAGGTGTACCCCCCAAGCACTGCAAAGCCCAGGTCCTTCCTGCGGCTGATGTCACGGCTTTATCTGCTGGGAGCCGCGAACCACCCCAGAACCACACTCACCAGCGGGAGGTCCATGAGCACCTGCATGCCATCGCCGGGCCCCATGTGGGCCACGTGGTTGAAGTTGGTCGGATTGGAGATCATCTTGGATCTGAGCTCCGGGTCTCTGAGCATTTCTCTGGGGAATAAGAATGGCTTTGAGACGCCCTGCACTTGTGACCCCCCCCCCCCGGCCCTTCTCGGGCCCCCACGAGATCCCTCACCGCCTCTGCTGCAGCCGCTCCTCCTCGGGGACCTTGAACACGAACCACCGCTTGCTCCTGGTCCGCAGCATCTGTTTCTTGCTGTTCTCAGAGGTGTCGGGCACATTGAGCACGGTGCCTGCAGGAGCCGGCAATCTCCATGAGCGCGGGCCCAGTGCGCCGGCGCCGCTGCCGGGGGCGTGGCCGCGCCCCCTCCCGCCCACTGGGCGGGGCTTACCCGAGAACCTGCTCTTGAAATAGATGAGGCGAGGGGGCTCGCAGTTGAGGAGGTTTAGGCTGCCTTCCGGGTTCAGCGGTCGGATCTGGCGGGAGGCAGAGCGGTGACACGGCGGCCCGGCGGCAGCGCCCCAGGAGCGAACCAGCGAGCCGCCCGCCCAGCCTTACCCTCCGCAGGCCGATGGTCTGCACCCACTCCATAGTGGTCACGTCGAAAACGTCAGCGCCATACTCGCTGTACACGGTGACGTGGGAGGGGCTGCAACCTAGTGCGGAGGGAGGGGCAGAGCGGTGAGAACCGGGCGTGGCCGCTCGCTCCCCCGAGCCGACGCCCTCAGGTCGGCTCCGGTGCCGCCCCACGCCAGGGGGCCGGCTTTCTGGAAGCACATGCCTCCTCCTGCTCCCTCTAGAGGTAACGTCAGGTCACAGTTCAAACGTTGTAGCTGTAAATGCTTACATGTCCCACCGCCAACTGAGACACACTTTACCTACCGCAGCGTGGGTGCCTAAGATGACCTTGTTAAAGTTACCTGTGCCGCTTAGTTTTCTCCCAATATGTGATCACTGCAAAAGCCTGTCAATTCAGATACGACAGAACCCAGATGGAGACTAAAATTCAGGTAGTCGCTTTCTCCAGGGGGCACGTGGGCCCCTGGTGAGGACGGGACATCACACCCGTCCACCCCCACCACCCTGGGGACCTTGAACCTCTGCAAGGGCCCCTTCAGGCCTCCCTCTACAGCCCGTGTGCAGAGAAGACACGCGGGACAGCACCCGGCCTTCGCGGGAGCAGCAGTCCCCGCCGCTGGCCTTGCCCCGTTGGTGCCAGCCGACAGGCACTGCCGGACTGCGGTGAGGCGGCCTGGCACACCAGAGGTGAGGCCCAGGGCTGCCGGCCGGCTACCTCGAGTGTCACGTTGAAGGGCGTCTCCCCTTCTTTAGCACAGTAACCCAGTAGGTCTGAGGAAGGCGGCTCAGTGGACGGCCACAGCCCGTCGCTGGCGGCAGGAGCACAGCCCACCTGGTGCAGCCTGGTGTCCGAGCGGAAACAGCCGGGACAGCAGCTGCCGGGTCCAACGAGGCGCCAGCTGGCACTGGCCGAGGCTCTTCTACTTGCCAGGGCTAAAGGCTTTGTTCTCTCACACGTCACTGACTGAAAATGAGTTTTTTAAAAGGCTTCTACACGCACTATGCTCTTACCACAGAATGCAAACTGGCTGCCTGGTCAACACTTTCTTTTTGAATACGAAGAGGAAAATAAAAGGGTTTTGGGAAAAGGCACAGAGGATTCAGAAATAGGTTCCCCTCAGAATTAACATCTCAAGTATATCTGTGAGGCCGGCTTTGAGGGCCAGGTACACAAGGTGCTGCCAAGCTGGCTGGCTCCAAATGTGCCTCCAGGGAAACTCTCCACAAAGGAGCTTGACTTGTGGAAGACAGCTGTGTGTGTGACTTGGTGATGAACTGATCAACGGTGCTGCCCACCTTGAGAGAAACCTAAGACAGTCGTAAGTGGAACACAGCCATGGAGTCTAACAGACGGGTTTGACCCTGCTGTGCCGTAGGATTCGTGAACGATTTAGTCTCTGTGAACCTCAGTTTGCTCAGCTGTACAATGGGACTGATGATTCCCACTGTAAGCAGTGATGGTGGGGAAAGGTCAAAGTGCCAACATAGGGCCTGGGACAAGCAGACTAGTGAGGACGCACTCGGGTCTCCATCCCAGGTCACTCAGTGTGACTTCACCAGCTCTAAAGCCGACTTAGTGTCTGTGTCCTGCATGGGGTGGTGAAGGGGGTGCCTGCACAAGTAGATGGAACCAGGGGCAGAGGGGACTGTCATAGGTGGCGGGGCTAGTCCATGACTAGAGAACCTCTGTGCTCAGGGGCCAGGCTTTTCATTTCAAAATGGTAACAGTGAGACTGGGACCCTGAGGGGCAGGACCTGCATGTGGTCCTGAGGGGAGGGCGCCACTATAAGCCTGGGTGCAGCTGCTGCGCACAGGGTCAGAAACATCCCAGGGGCCCCCCAATTGCTGCCTGGGACAGCCAACAGTGAGGCAGAGACAATCTTAGTTTCAGGTGATTAAGGAATACAGCCCTCCCCTCATACTGTTTCATACTCAGAGGATGCCAGGCTGACTCATCCAATCGCCACTGGCTCTGCGTGGCCACTGGCGTCATGAGCAGGGTGTTCCATGGAGACACGGGAATCGGCTCCACACCCTCAGCCCCTCACCCCCTGCCCGCCCCCAACTCCCTGCAGGGCCTTCTGTGATGTCCCACGTTGGCGCCGCCTAGGGCTGACGTTCACCTAGAATGCCACCGAAGGCCAAGCAGGTCCTGCTGGCCTCCAGAGCACCTCAAAGAAACACATGTGCAGAGAGGGCTCTGGACTGCAAAGTTGGGTCCTTTCTGTGTGAACTAACGTTTTCATGGAGAAAACCTTGTCAGAAACAAATAAAACAGCTGTCCCTTCCTCCTGTCACCTCAGCCCTGCTCAGGGACGCCAGCTGCCACCATGGAGTCCTCCGCAGAGAGGACACCCGCAAAGGCTCTGGAAAAGAGTGTCACGTTCCCAGGCGGGGGGTGGGGGGACAGGTGAGCCTCACGCCCCCGCAGGTGCCAGGCCTGCAGCCCTGTGGCTGCCCCAGCTCCCACTCTCAAGCGCGGGAACCAGGCGCCCACCTCCACCGCCCTGTGGCCACCGCACCCCAGCGCTGGGGGACGAGCCAGGGCGAGAGGCAGACACTGGCTGCTGTGAGGAGGCAGCAATGAGGCAATGGCGACAGAAAACATATACATACTACAGGCGACAGGGGCTGCCGGCCACATGAGCTCCTGGGTGCGAGACCTCCGGCCTTGTGAGTCCACGTACAGCCCCATGTGGCTGAAGCACAGCAGATACTCCTCGCTCCTGACCTCCACAGCACAGAGGGCGTCAAAAGACTGCTGGGAGAGGAAGGCAAGCGAGGGGTCAGCGGGGTTCACCAGGCTGAGGGCGTGCCCGTCGCCCTGTGTGCTCAGCAGGGCAAACCCGGACGGGTAGCCCACACAGAGCCGGTCCCCGATGGCGGCCATCCACTGCACGGTGCCGGGCGCCGCCAGCTCGCCAAGCTTCCGGTGGAAAGGCTTAGTCCTGTGCAGCTCGAAGCACAGCACCAGCCGCTTGACGGCCACAAAGAGGCAGGTGGGGGCGTTCTTCCTTAGCGTCGCCGTGGCGATGAGCTGGCAGCCTTTCGTCTCTGGGAGCTTGATGTCAGAGCTGCCCTCGGCCCCATCCAGGGCAGACCAGGGGTAGAGGTGGACGTGGTGGTTCCGGCCACAGAGCAGGATGACCACCTTCTCCCGCGGCGCGAGTGCTATCTGGTGCACCTTCTTGCAGTCAGCCGCTCTGATGATCACTGCAGAGGGAGGGGTGCATCGTGAGGGCGACCTTGGGGACTGACCTGAACCTGCCTTTCTGCAGGGCACCGCCTCTGCTCCTCTCTGCCACGCCCACTCCACCATCACAGGGACACCTCCCTCTCAGGCTGCATTTGGGGAACTAGGGCTGTCTCCAGCCCTCCAGCCCTGGGGGTACTCTCTGTAAGTACCTGCCCTCACTTGGCCCCAAACCACCACCTGAGCCAGGATCCCTCCTGGGGCTCTCCAAGCAGACGTGATGGCCCTGGGTAACTCGGTCCCCATGGGCGATGGTTTCACTCTTCCAACCCCACCCGGTCTTGTGAGGAGGGATGGTACTGCTACCACATCCCCACTGGGTGTGGTGGCCCAGGGCGTGGTGGCCTGGCATCTGACTCAGGCTGCCACGCAAAGATGGGGACACTTTCCTCGGGAAGAATGACACACATCATGTGCTGGCCCTAGGGAAGGCTGGCTCACTCTGGGACGCTGCATGACTGCCTTGGGCCTGTGGCCTCTCCTTGAAGGACCTGACGTAGGTGGCCGAGGGACACCCAGGGCCCCAGACCAACACGTGTCCTGCCCAGTGTCCAATCACTCAACAAGCAACACAGGCACGGATGCGGTGAACAACTTCACTCGTGCTTTGCCACACCTGCCCCTGGTGCTGCCCGCAGCCAACTGTCCAATCAGCCATTTGCCTTCCCTTTCCTCAGGCGTTTTTCTGACACGGGGACCCGACTTACAGATCATGGGCATCCTAACTGACCATGGTGTGCACCTGCACCGAGGAGAAAGTCCTGGCCTGCTCACTTACCATCGCGGTTCAGCTCTATGACATAGAGCCCTTCTTCCAGGCCGATGGCGATCTTATCTCCGTCTGTAAAGGCAGAAGGGGGGGAATGAGGGCGGAAAGAGCGCAGCAGCAGTGTGAGCAGAGACGGCACGTGCTTGAACGGATGGGAGAACCGCTGCCGTCGAGTCGGCTCTGCCTGCTGGCGACCCCCGTGTGCCCCGGTACAACCGCGCTCCACTGGGTTTTCAGGGCTGACTTTCTGGAAGGAGATCACCAGGTGCCTTTCTTCCAAGGTGCCTCTGGGGGGGCCTGAACTGCTAACCCCTCGGTGAGTGGCCGAGTGTGTCCACTGTCTGGCCCACAATGAGACCATCGACAGGTTCCAACAGCCGCCACAGACGCCACAGCCGTGAGCTTGAAGGCCCACCCACATGCGGCACTCTCTCCTCCAGATGCGGGGGGAAGCGTGGTCCACTGCAGGGCCCTGCACGTACCCACGATGGCCGCCGCCAGGACAGCCTTGATGAGGGGCAGCGAGCTGTCGTAGGCTTCCTGAGGTACGTGCACCAGTTGATTCCTCAGTCTGTTTTTGTGGAGGATTGACTGGAGGCCTTCTAGGATCCCAACCCACTTCCTCTTTTCGTTCTCATTTTCTGTCAGAACGAGCAGCGAGCTGGTCTTAGAAGGTGAACCTAAGAGAGAGGCCGTCACCTTCATCACAGGAGACAAAACACAGAACAGAGAAGAACCATAAGACGACCAAACACACCAGACAGCTGCCCACAGCCTGCACACGAGCCTCTTGGCCGCACAGCATGCAGACTTGAGGGTGACCAGCAGACCTGATGACCCAGCCGGGCTGGCTCCGCACCACCTTGCAGGAGACCCTTGTCAAGACAGTAGGGGGGCTGGACCAAGCTACATGGCAGGGGGACTCCCATGTTTTCAGGTTTTAGCTAATGCTGCCCTTGCTAAAACTGGTCTAGCAGTCCATTTTAAAAGTTCTGCCAGGAGCTGTCTTAGGCCAATTAAGATAAAAAGGCTCAGATTGTGGCCAGGGAATACGGGTCTGAAACAAAACCACTTGCCAGTTGTGCCCTGAGGCACCCTCGGTCCACTGTTCTCCCACACGATAGTGGGTTCTGAACAAGCAAGATTTAGTAAAAGGGACCCACACACCTGCCTTTGTGGCAAACCCGTTTTCCCGTGTTTATGAAACTCCCACTGCAGGTGCAGAAGACATCATCCTCTGACTCACACCCCTGGGTCAGCACCTCAGGCTACCACCGGGACCACTGAGGGCAGGCGGGGTGGCCTCCACGCGGCCAGCACGGACCTCCCGCTGGCCCTGTGCTGTTCCTGCTACTGGCAGCACTTGGCCAGGCCCAGGCCTGGTTCCCGGGATGTCACCTCAAGTTTCCTCTAGTGCTAAGAGCCCCATCCATGGTCAGGGGGCTGTGCACGGACCCAGGAGAGGGATTTCAGGTGAGGTGAAAAGGGAGAGGTGGTGGAGGGGGAGGTGGGTGCTCCTGGAGGAAGTCAGGCAGGAGGCCCCCCAAGGAGGCTGTGGCTGTGTGGAGGGGCTGCATCCGGTGGGCAATGAGGCGAGTGGGGTGGACTGTGCCACGCGCACGAAGGAGTGGAGGCAGGACAGGGCGACAGAGAAACCAGGCTGGTCCGTGCCATCGCAGCGACACCCCTGGCAGAATTGCTTTCTCTTAACTGTTTCCCTCCAACAATCAGTGAAACAAATGGTCTTTAAAAAATAGGAAGGAATGACAAAAATCATACCCGGAATATACAAGGAATATCTCGGCGTGTGGCATGTATGACGTCTGAGGCCAGGACTGAGCTCACTGAGAAGCCTTCATCTCTGGAAGAGAGAAGATGGTGAGGACACCTGGGAAGGGACACTCTCACACTCCCACACACACACTCATGCTCACGCACTCTCACACCCATGTACACGTTCACACACTCATGCACATGCACTCCCACACCCTCATTCACACCCATGGCAAATCACAAGCACACTCATGCACTCACACCCAGCGTGGATTCACACCCATGCCTGTATTCATATTCACTTGTCACACAGTCATTCCATACACGCACTCACACACATTCACGCACACTCACACTTCCACATTCACACACACTCACACTTCCACATTCACACTCACATCCATTCGCATACTCATCTACACAGCTGCACTCACTCCCTCACTCCGTCACCCCCTCACACTCCACACCTGCACTCGGGCTCATTCACAACCTGTGCCCACACCCACACTCCCTCTTGCATATCTTCACACTCACTACATTCACACACCCCACTCGCACAATATCCACTCACACTCGTTCACATACATGCCCACAGAGACTCTCACTCTCTGTACTCACACCCATTCATCCTCACACTCCTCCGACTGTGCCCCCCACTGTCACTTCACTGCAAACCAGACCAGATGGACACGGCCATGAATCTATTTTCTGGAAGACCAAGTGGGCCCTACTTCCACCTGGGTAGGGACAGACTCACAGGGACAAACCCCAATAAGCTAACTATGAGGACTTCACAGTGGTTGAATGGTTGGGGGTGCTGGAGGGTACGAGTGTCCACCTCACACCGCCCCCTCGAACGCCATGTCTCCCCAGCTACAAACATGTCCACGACCGAGGCTTGGCTCGGTTGGGCAAGCTTGTCTTCAGAGGGGACACAACTCGCTGGACAACTAGGGAAGCACCCTCTCCAACATGCTCTGCACACCCGCCTCCCTGGCAGGACACAGCCGTTGCGCCAAGCTCAATGTGCCCTGGGCTGTGTGCTCAGGCTGAAATACCCTTTGCCACTAGGCCAGGGCATAGTCGGGGCTGCCATGGAGCCATCGAGAATATTTCCAGATCATGGGCACCAGCTGGTCGCCATACCTGCCCTGCAGGGCAGGGACACTGGCAAGTGGCCCACGCTATTCTATCTGAACGATTCTCACACACCTGTGTTTGTGTATGTCTCAACACTGTGGGCCCCCTTCCCCTAGGACCCAAGGCTGGAGACTCCCAGGCAGGTCCTGGAGCAGAGAGGGGCTAGCAGCATTGGCCGTCTGCTCTGGGAGCGAGGGCATAGTGGCCTGGGACCCACGCTGTACGGTGGCAACGCTCTATGTGCCAGGTGTGATGCTGCGTGTGTTAATTCAGTTAATTCCCACGACAACCTGATGCTGTTGGTTAATCACCCCCACCATACACAGGGGGAGACTGAGGGCAGAGGTGCTAACTTAAGAGAGGCAGGAAGGGACTATCTATTCTCATGGTATGTTTCATGCTAAGGGGCTGCACTGGACACGGGGCAAGGAGCGTGATGGCGTGGCCACACCCCCACCATGCCAGGCCTGGTCAGCCTCAGGGCACCAGTCAAGGAATCTGAGTCCCGTGAGGCCGCCCTGCCTCCCTTGCCCAGTTGACCTTGCAAGTGTTTTTCGCTTGTTCCTGGCACATGATTTCCTTACATTAAATGTCTGTTTGGCACGTTTTTTAAAATATCTGATGCAGAGACGTTCACAGTGTTTACTGGACAGCTGAGTTTCACCTGCTCCAGTAACTGTGGGACACCTAACGATGTGAGGGTGCAAACGAGGCTGAAGACTCCCAAAGCAACCAACTCTCACTTTGATCAAAGGCTGAAAACCTAAAAGCAAACACACACCCAGCACCGTAAAGTGGACAGACCTGAGGTCCAGGACCTGGCTGGCGACCACGCCGGGCTGTGTGGACTTCCCCTCAGGCAGGTCATACAGGAAGAGCTTGCAGTCGCAAACCACTGCATACGCCCGCTGCCACCCCTTCTTCACCCCAGTGGGCTTGGGGACCTGTAGGCCAATAGGGACACAGTTCACTGGGCTGCAAGGCTGCAAGGTCCTTGGAACAATGGTGGCATAGTCTGTGTGACTGGGGCTGGGCCCGTGCTGCCCTCCAGCTGCCACGTGGCTGCTGTGAACTTGGGTGGCACCTTCTCACTCCACCCAGACTGCGAACAGAGCGTGTCTGGACTCAGGTCATGGAGGGGAGGGCTCCGTGCTGCAGCGGGAGCTCGGAGAATCAAGCATGGCAGGTGCAATCACATCAGACACAGAACATGGCGGGTGCACGGTTGGACAAAACACAGCCCATCCCCATGCAGTGGAAGCCGCGTGCCAAGCCCCTCTGGAGCCTTGTCTTCCAATGCACCTGCCCAGACAGGTGATATCCTAGGAACACTCGTGTGGGTCTGTGGGGCCTGGGACTAGGGGTCTACTGAGATCAGACACATCAGCTGAGCCAAGCTCAACACCCATTCCCAGGTGAGGGGTCTCCCAGGCCCAGCTCTAGGGCCACCTCATGCTGCAAAGGAGATGCTGTCACGAGCACCCGGGGTCTGGGGGCCCAACGTGCCTGCATGGCGCCCAGTGCTAAAAGGGGAAGAGCCGAGCACGTGGCAGGCCGCGGTGCCTCCTCCCGCTCCTCACCTTGACGTAGCCTTTGTAGGCGGTGCCAATGCCCCGCTGCACATCCACTCCCAGGGGCCGCTTGGACTGCTCGGGAGGGATGGGGCACACCTGGGGGGCACTGTCCTTGCAGGCCGTGTGGCAGGCAAACGAGCACACTGGGAAGGGGGAGGGGCAGCAACGTCAAAGCCCGTTTCTGAAGCAGAGTCACTGCAGAGCGAGCTGAGAGCCGCTGAGCTGTCACCCAGAGCCACCAAGGAGAGGCCCGGCGGGCAGCCGGCTGCGGTGAAAGCTGTGGTCTGTGGCGCTCAGCACCTTCTATCACAGCCATTTCTCCCCCATCGACAGCACAGGGCGCTGGTGACCCCTGCCCACACACAAGCTATGGACGAGGCCATGCCATCTGGGTGGGCATAGAACCCAGCCCCAGGGCACTCAGAGTGGGCGGTGGCCCCCAAGGACTGCAATGCTGGAATGGTGACTGGAAGGACAGACGTGGCCCCAGTCATAGCTTTCTCCAGATGCTTCCACAGCGGAGAGCCCGACGGCCCTTTTCCCTCTTGGCGTTCCCTAACTTTCTAGAACAGGGACACTGCGTTCTACGTCAGTACTGGCCAGTAATTGCCTTAGCCTTAGAGCAGGGCACCCTCCTGTCACAGCAGGGGTCATGATCCCGTACCACACCCTGACTGAGCGTTTTAAGGACAGGAACACAGGGGGCTGTCCTGGGAAAGCCCGCACTCACCCTCACAGGCGTAGCCCTGCCGGATGAGCCCGACCATCAGCGAGGTGCAGTGGCTGCACTGCGTGGGACTCGAGAAGGACTTGATGCTGAACTGGTGTGCTTTGGGCTGCAAGAGGAACAGCAAGGTGAGCCCCCAGGAGGCCGCGAGGGCATCGGTCGGCTCAGGGGCAGACCAACGAACAGCTCGGGCGTCGGGAAGAGCCAAGACTGTGCAATTCCATGTTCCAAAGAAGGGCTGGCCCGGAAGCACAGGTAGCAGCCGACAAGGGGCTTGCCCCTGCAGTCACCAAGTCACCTGCAGTCACCAGCTGTCAGGGCTGGCCGGGGCCACGTGCTGGGGTGGGGGGTGCCCAGAGCAGCCCTCACGTGGGAGCCATGGCCAAGCGTCTACAGCAGCCCTGCTCCTCGTAGCAGGGGTGGGGAGCACCCGACATCTCTGTCGGGGGAGGACACACCATGACCGTCACACGTGCAATGACACAAAGACACAGGAGGTTGAGTGGATGAGCAGGTGCAGACTACGAATGACATCGAGTGTGTAGAGCTCAGGCACCAGCCAAACAAAGCACTCTGTCCCTCAGGGAGACAACGCTGTGGTGAAATGACTTGTAAAAATCAAGGGAGTGAGAGTTTGGAACTCAGACCCGATCGCAGGGACGAGGCCCAGGCCAAGGGTATAGGGGCAGACCCCGGGCTGCGGGACAGGTCACGTCACAACCATGCTGCCCGTTATCATGGACAATAACAGTCCACCTGACCATAAGAATACAAAGTCAAAAGCTAACCCACTAGTTAGTCTCAAACACAATCAAGTCCCTTGTCTCTAGCTGGCCTCGCCACTGATGGCTGAACTTGGAAAGAGGCTATGTCTACATTCAAAAGAGAAAAGAATTGTGCTTGGGGGCTCAGGACCATAGTCGGGGGGACGCTAAGGCCAACTGGCGTCATAGTTCACCAAGGTAATGTTCTACATTCTACTCTGGTGAGTAGCAACGGGGGTCTAGAGGCCTGTGAGTGGACACCTAAGGTGTCACTACTGGCCTCTCTCCATCTGGAGCAATGACGAGTGAAGAAAATCAAAGATGCAAGGAAAGAACCCAAAGGACTAGTGGACCACACAATCCCAGCCTCCACGACCCTGAGACCAGAAGAACTAGATGGTACCTGGCTCCCACTGCTCACACTCTGAGAGGGATCATAGTAAAAGGGCCCTGGGCAAAGGAAGCAGGAGAAAAACAGGGACGAAAACACAAAACCACCGAAAAGGGTCTGACAGAGACTGGTGGAACCCCCGAGACTAAGGCCCTTAGCTCCCCTGCAGGCGTGGGACTGAACCAACACTCCACTTTCAGCCACACAAAAGGCAGGGCTATGGGGTGAATAACCCCACCAGGGAGGTGCACCCCTTAGAACAATGAGCCACACGGAATCCAAAGGGCAGCGCTGACCCAGGGCTAGAGCTCAAAGGCAAGAATGTACAGAGAAGAAGGACAAGTGTGAAGAGGACAGGAGGAGGATGCTGAACGAGCGCTGATACATTGCTGGGACTGTAATCAATGTCACCCAACAAAACGTGTGTGAATCACCACACGGAAAACCGATCTGCTCCATAAGTGCTCAAATCACAATAAAAATGTAGAAAGAAAGAAACGGGAAAAAGGCTCAGGATCCCATGTGGCCGTGTGCCCACTAAGTTTGAACTGAAGAGAAAGGGTGACGGGAGCATGAGGCCAGCAGTGAACGAGGACCCGCTCACAACACGGGTGACACAAATGCACACTACGCGAACTCCGTTTGGGCTGGGAAAACCCCCATCCACAAACCACACAGCTCTGCATGTACACATGTGAATGCACGTGTGTGTGGCGTGGGGAGGCTGGACTCAAGAATGCACATGACACCCCACGAGGTGTGCCTGCTGTGGTGAGGATGTGCGCATGGATGGCTGCCCAGGCCGCGCACCACCCCGAGCAGACCAACCCCAGCCACAGGTCTCACGGTGCGTACAGGACGCGTAAGGCCACTCTGTCCCACGGACTTTGTGTCCTAGAATTAAGGAGGTGCTGAGGGCACAAGGATGGCCTACCTTGGGTCCAGTCAGGGTGAGGGCCGGTGTGGGGGGCAGCGGCACGGGGGCTGGCCTCGGCAGGGCCCGAGCCATGTCCTGGGAGGCAAGCAGGGGCGGGTGAGTGTTACTCTGACCTCAGCACTGCTGGTGGGCGCCGGGCCCTATGGGAGTCATTTCTCTAGAACTTATTAATAACGGACACTCCTGCATCTTGAATTGACCACATTACAGAGACACCTGCCAGGGCGCACCTCACCCAGCTGACGGAAACCCTGCAAAGACTGGGTGAGGGCCCGGGAAGAAGCGCTGGCTATGAGCCAGACACTGAGGAGGCCAGCTGGCCTGACAGGTGAGCACTGCTGCGACTGGGCACACAGGCCACAGGGAATGGATGGGCGGGGGCGGCCCAAGGGCCCTCGAGCCCAGCTGGGCAATGGCGCCTTACTTCTTGCTGGTCTCCGCCTGCAGGCATAGCCATCGACGGTGACACCTCTGGCTTCGGTGCGCGTGTCTCCTGCTCAGCAGCTGAGCTCGTCTGTGAAAACACAGAAGGGACGGGGATGAGGGCACTGGCGTCCGACCCTGGGTCCTGGCCGTGCTGCTGCGTGGGTCCAGGTGCCCCGCCTCCCCAGCCACTGCCCTGAAGGTGCTGGGGCCCGGGGCAGGGCCTCTGGCCTGGTCCCCTTCTCACACCTTCACCTCTTCCTGGCTATTTAGAGGGTACGAATTAGGAAACGGCATGGCTTTGACCGCACTCACACGTACCTTCCTCCACACCTGGCAGCCTTGAGATCAACTGTCAGTGCTTGTTAACCTCCCCTCGGGGCCTGCACCAACCTCTGCCCACAGCGGTCTGGGGCTCAGGCTCGTGGTCAGCGCCAGGAAGGAAGCACCATGCTGCAGTTTCACAAGGTGGTGAGGTCGGGTTCTGCTCTAACAACCCAGCTTCCAAGTGAGTCTAGCAAAGGTCTACTGGGAGCTAACTCTACTTCTAGAACTACAGAAACAACCTCATCTTAAACAAGCACTGTGACAATTACCGTGTCACCACCACAGGCTGTTAGCGTTACACAGGTGCGCCGTGTGGGCACTGCCAGCACAAGGGGATAGGGACTCCACTCCTGTCGATTCCAACTCCTAGCGACCCTAGAGGACCGAGGAGAACTGCCCAGAAGGTTCTAAGGCTGGAAACTTGACGGAAGCAGACGGCTTCCTCTTTGTCCCACAGAGCGGCTGGTGGGTTCCAACAGCCCACCTTGCGGTTAGCAGCTGAGTGCTTAACCACTGCACCACTAGGTTCCTCAGACAGTGAGTAGAGCTTACAAACTCCCAGAGAGGAGCTGGGAGCTGGGTGGGCACCTGAAGACCTGCATCAGATCCCAAGGAATCAGATCAGAGACGTACGTCCCGCCAGGTGTGATTACTCAGCCGCCAGGTGAGAGCTGTGCGCAGCGGGAGGGGGCAGAAACACATACCTGTGTGCTGTGGACCACCCTCGGGAGGGTAGCTGTGGCACATGCCCGGGGGACCACCTGAGGGGCGTCACTGAGCAGTTTCTATTTGCCATGGCAGTTCCATTGCCAGCTGAGATCTGTCAGCCATTTAAACTAACAGCCCTGGGCACTGCTCTCCATAGTTCTGCCTCTGACGGCAGAACCCGATTCCATCAACAAAGGTACAAGGCACAGGCCAGACAGACCTGCTGGCCATCAAAGCTGAACATGCAGCACATTTCCCCGTAAGTGAGGTCAGATGACAAATGAGATGACAAGTGAGCAGCAAAAGACAACGAAGCAGTTTAACTTCAGCTACGAAGTGGTTTAATTCAGCTACGAAGCGGTTTAACTTCAGCACAAAGCACTTTAACCTCAGCTATGAAGCACTTTAACTTCAGCTATGTAAAAGCCCCATGAGTTGCATTTAGTTAATTAATCAAAAGCACGCAACTGACAAGTGAGGGGCTGTTCCCAGTGGGGGGGAGTCCGGCAATGCATTAACTTACTTCTTCCCACGAGGCTAGCAGAGAGGATGGGGACGAAAAGGACACAAGAGCCCTTGTGCAACAGACAGAGGGACAAAAAAGATCGCCTCCCGCCGGTAAAAACAGGTGTGAAAATACAGTGACTGCACTTCGGGCAAAGCGTTTCTATTAACAGTCAGCACAGTTAATGTGGAAAATGGACAGGCGTCTCAAATGATTCTCGATGCCTGGAGACACCTCCTGGTGTACACTGAGAGTCTGACCAATGATTCTGTCTACAGTAAACGTCCTTTCTTTCAAATCACAGAGCTGTGAGGGACGGGGTTAAGAATGGCAGGTGTGCTGGCAAACAGTGAGGGAGAAAGAGCCAGGCCTGCGTCTCCATGATGAAACCGCCCTGCCTGCCGCCCGGCCTGAAGAGGACACTGTGACAGCTGCCGGCTGCACATCCCTCAGCCCAAGCCTCTGCCCCACCCAGAGTCGACAGAGAAGCCGCTGCTTCCTGACCACTGCCCTCCTCACCATGGTCTCTGGCTGGCCCCAGGCCTGGGGGGCAGGGGCGGGGCAGAGAGGCTAGACGCGGCACGTGCGTGCGGCAGCAGGCTTGCTCACGGAGGACCTGTGTGTGCCCAGTGGTTAGACACACTTTTATCTCAAAACACAGAGATGTCGGGGAAAGAGCTGCACCACCACTTTGGTAAAAACCAGTCCGTGCCCAGAGGGCCAGGAACATCACCAATGTGCTTAGGGTTTTCAGTGATGGATGTCACTAGTGCATGCTGAAACCACCATGAGGAAGCCTGTGGAAAGCCAGTCCCAAGTGGCTCCCAGGTGGCCCCTGTCTCACCAAAGGGAAGGGACCCTTTTCAGTGAAAAGGGCTAGCAGACCCCATCCTAACCTAACGCTTAAACTTAGCATCACAACCCTGGGCAGACAGACAGCTGGCTCCTGAGAGAGGCTGGGACATGCATGCCACCCTCCACGTGAAGAGTTCTTGCCAAACATTTACCCCCATCTAACTGAGAGGGAACATCCGCAAACCCAGAGAGAGAGGTGCTCTGTAAGACTGGACACACTATAGCTGGTGTGTCCTCTAGAAAGTAACAGTGTTGTAGAAGGAGAAACAACGACAGGGCTTCAGACCAGGGGGCCAGAGAGACGACAGCTCAACGCCAGGCAGGCTCTCAAGCTGGAAGCCAGCTCAGGGAGCTGTAGTGGGGCAACAGGGCAGCATGAACACCAGGTACCAGCTACCAGTGTGCCAGCACAAAGCAGAGGCCTTCCGTGTGCGTGACTGGTATCACGGCAAGCGTTTGCCCCCAACCTGAGGAAAACGATGCTCGAATACTTAGGGGTCAATGTGCCTGCAAGTCACTCTCCAGTCATCCAGAGGGAACAAACGTGCATGTATGTAGAGAGAGGTCCCGGAGCTGCTGAAGAGCTCTGCCCAGACTAAGTCAGCGCTCCAGTCCCTGGGCTGTCTGCGGGTTGTGGCTGGTCAGGGTCCGTCCCTGTCGTTTTGGAAAAGGAGGGGAAGTGTTTGCCTTCCCTGCAACTCACCGCAAAGTCACAGCACACTGAGGGGAAGGTGGTGCTCCCGGGGCAGGGCGGTTTCCTAAGCAGGCCTGCTGCCGCGAGGCCCAGAGAGTGCACTTGGACTCATCAAGGATGAGCCAGCTTTCCAAGCACAGGGTGTTGTGTGTACCCACACTGCCAGCTCAAAACAAGGCCATCTGGCAGTGCCTGACTCACCGTCCCTGCAACCCATGTGCCAGGCAACAATAATGGTAACACAAGCCAGAGGAGGGGAGAATCTGTATTTTAAAACTTTACCTGCAGTGTTTGCTACATGGCCAGGGGTCCACTTCCCCTTGCAAACGCCTCCAGTATCCCAACCTTCCACAGTCACCACCCCAGAGTCCAACTCACAGAAACTTCACTAGTCTCTTTCTTGATTACTTACTCTAAACATCAGATCATGTGTAAGAGGTGCAGCGTTGAAATACTCAAAAATAGAATCCTGAAAATCTGGAAGTTTGAGTCCTGTGAGAAAGAAACAAAGGCCAGTCAAGGTAAAAACGTATGGCACTGTGTCTTACTCTTCCAAAGACTCAGTGTTACAAGGATGTCAGTTCTTCCCAAAGTTAACGGGTGAACTTAAAGTGATCCCAGTGAAAATACCATTAGATTTTTCCTGGCGCTAGACAAGTTGATTAAAAAGTTTCCTTGGAAACAGTCTGACAGCTCCTCAAAGAGTTAATGCCAGAGTAAGCACGTGACCCAGCAGCTGTACTCCTGGTGTAAACCCCAAAGGCTTGAAAACAGGGACTCAGACCCTCTCTATATGAATGTTCACTGCAACGTCATTCAGAACAGCTGAAAGATGCAAAGAACCCACATGTCTGGGCAGATGATGGGATACACAAAATGTGGCCCATACATACATGAAATGTTACCTAGTCAGAAAGAGAAATGGCAGCCTGAAGTGCACTGTAACACGAAGGCCCCCAGAAAACATGCTGAAACAAGCCAGTCACAAAAGGACAGATAGCGTATGAGCCCATGTATATGAAATGCGTAACACAGGTAAACGCATAGAGACCCAAGTTTATCGGTGGTCCCAGGCGCTGGCAACTCTGCTTGGGTGCACTGAGTTTCTGTTAAAGGTGCTTAAAAAAAAAATGAGTTCAGGATGCCTGCCTTGAGCACTGTGCTCTTTTAAGAACTGTCTGTATGTGGTCAAACTAACCACAGCATCTTGGAAGATGAGATCGGAACCCTGGGAGGCAGAGTTGATTTTAATGGCTGAGGAAGAGGAAACAGGGGCTCAAACAGAAAACGGGAAATGAGAAACGGAAAGAGGGGATGAGACTGGTCGCTCAACTCGAAGAATGTGATCAGCGCCACCTAAGCGTCTCTTTGAAGGAGCTGGTGAACTGGTGGATGTTCCGCTGCGCACACTGTCAACAGCACGAACACAAACTAAAATAAACTGCATTTAAAAAATAAAAGGACTAGAAACGGACAGTGGTGCTGGCTGCACAGCATGAATCTGATTGGTGGCACTGAACTGCACGTGTGAAAATGGTTAAAATGGCAAACGTCCACCTGGAAGAACAGCCACACAAGGCACCCTCAGGAAGCCCAGGAATCCTTAAGAAAGCTGTGGTGAGCGGGCCTGAGGAGCAGCCTACAGACACGACAACACGTGCACTAAACCTCAACGATAGCCGTCGAGTGGACCTTGGGCACCGATGCTGGAACACGGTCACTAAGCCTCAACGATAGCTGTCGAGTGGGCCTTGGGCAGCAATGCTGGAAAAGGGTAGGAAAGGCAGAAATGGGGCCAAGCGCCCACATGCTTTCACAGGCGAGGAGCCAGTCTGGAGGCAGCAGGAAGAACCTGCCAGGAACTAGGGCTGGGGCACCAGCTATCCCTAAGGAGAGCAGGATCCATTCCTCACACTGTATCCCAGGGAAAATTCCAAATGGATCAGGGAGCTAAATTTAAAAAATGAAATTGTACAAGTGTTAGGAGGACACATGGGTGAATTCCTGAATAACAGGAGAGTATGAAATATTGTCCTAAATATGATTAAAAAACTGGAAATAACGGATAAATTTGACATGAAAAATAGAAAAACATTTGCTTGGGCCAAAAAAAAGCACAGTAAAATGGCATAAAATACAAAGTAGGAAAGACACCTGAAACTTATGTCAAATTATATCACAATGGGCTCTAATCCTCAATAAAACCCAACCCAACTCACTGCCACTGAGTCAATTCCAGCTCACACGGGCCCTACAGGACAGGGTAGAGCTACCCTGTAGGGTTTCCAAGGCTGTCAATTTTCACAGAAGTGGACTGCCTCACCTTTCTCTTGCAGAGAGGCTGGTGGGTTTGAACTGCAGACCTTTTGGTTAGCAGCCCAATGCTTTAACCATAGCTTCACCAGTGCTCCTCAACAAATAAAAAGCTTCTGAAAATTAAGAAGACTTAACAGCCTGATTTTTTAAAAAGGGGTAAAACACACAGAGATGGAATTCAGAGTAAGAAATACAAACGGCCTTTAAACACACAAAGGCATGCTCAGCTTTTCTCCCAATAAACACGAGATGAATCCACACTGAGGGGCCGTTTCTCCCCCACTTGCAGGGTGGCAATCGGGAGTTCCGAGGCCCTCCCTGTGGCAGGGACCCTGCTCCATAACTGTGTGCCTGGGACCATGTAAGCGCTTTATATAACCAAGAGTTAATTCAAAAAGAAAACATGAAACGGTTCCATTAAAAACGGCTTATATTTAAATCATTCTGAAGCTTACGAATGGAATTTACCAGTATCTGCTCTAAATTTTTCTTCCATCTTTTTCTTCAAAATTTCCATTTCTTCTAGTAATTCTCGGTTTTTGGCTTCGGAATCCTTCAGTTTACTAAAATGAAACACAAACGGCTTTAAGTGTGCTAAGAACAGGCACTGCGTGCAATCTGGTGTGAGCGGCAGGCTGTCTCCACAGCCAGCAGCCTGCAGGGGGCGCACTCTCAACAAGCACTTGTTGAATTTGCTGCTGTGTGAAAACCACATGCTTCCAACTCCTTCAAGCTCTAAGCAAAGACTGGAACAGGCGTACCATCTTCAACCTGTACTTTAAGTACAGTCATAACTCAAAGACACTGTGGGTTTGAATCCAGACCACCTCAATAAAGCAAATGTTGCAACAAAGCAAGTCACACAAATTTTCTTTCTCAGTGCATATAAGTTATGTTGACACTATGGTGGATGAAGCGTCCAGCAGCATGATAGAAAAGTGAAATACTGAGAGAGAGACCAAAACGTGACACGGTGACAGGACGTGAGCATATGCTGCTGGGAACATGGCACCAACAGACTCGCTTGGCACAGGGTTGCCACACAACTTCAATTGGTGAAAAACGCACTATTTCTAAAGTGCAATAAAGAAGACATGCAATAAAAGGAGTTATGCCTGTTAACTAGTTTTAATTTCACAGGAAAAATGCTGAGCTGGTAAACTGAGTGGCCTCGGGGCAGGTAGCATCTCTTGTCCCCAGCACGTGGAAGACACACTTCTTTCCAGGCTCAGAAAGAGCCCACACCTCCATGGTAGGGACTCTGCCCCCCACCCCGCCCTCTGGAGCACACACAGGGCCTATGCAAGCCTCACCAGCTCTCATCAGATGTCCACAGCGTGCGGAGACTACGCCCGACAAGGGCTCTTGTGGGTCACTGGCTCCAGCTGCCCGCACAAAGGGCCAGTGAAGTGGGCGCTCCTGCCGTCCAGGGCCTGTGCGGCTCAGGACTGGCCCCAGGCTGTGTGGGCCCCAGCTCTCACGTGCATCAAACACAGCACACCCCAGCTCCCACCCAAGCCCCCGCCCCCGTGTGTCCCAACACCACACAAAGCACCTTTCCAAGGAGAGGTTTGCGTCTTTGACTTTCCTCAGCTCGTCCTGCACCAGCTGCTTGGCCCGGATCTCGGCCTCGAGTGCGGACTGTAGCTCCAGCCGGGCGGACATGTCCAGCTTCTGACTGCGGCGGACTTTCCACAGCGGGTCCTGCAAACACCAAGAGTCCACCTCAGCAAAATGCATGCTAACCACCAGCCGTTGTTCACTAACCTCAGGACCTTCACTGTCATTTAAAGCAGTAACGCCAGATACTAACAAGGTTCCCTGGACCCAGTTTTTATTAACTGATAGATTTTATTTTTTCAGTCTTCCAAAGAAGAAAATTTGTTTTTTACTTTACAAGAAACACAGGTTCCACCTTGCAGTTTCCATATGGTCTACTGAATCCTCTTACAAACCTAAGACACACCGTGGGATCTGACTTATCTTAGCTTTCCTGTATCCTGGAACATTCTGCTAGTTTATCATCCTAGGAACCACCTCATTACACTACTCTCCAATCACTCCGAGCTGTGACAAAAAGACCAAAATAGTAAGAAAAAGGAAGACTGATGGAGCCACCTGGAAGGATGAGGCAGTAATGAAACAAACCACCTTGATGATGCTATCCCATTTTCTTGCTGAGTGGCCCCATGATTACCCCAACTGTCAGGCAGCTGTGAGTACAGTCTGGCGCATCCATTACGGTAGATTTTTTAATTTTCACTGAACACAGCTGAGAATCCAGAAAGTTTCCTTTTCTGCATAACAGCAGGGAAGACAACTGACAGAGCAATCTCTTCACACTTACCGGGCAACAGGAAGATGTGTGCAGAGGGACAGAGCACAGCGCTCTCTCAAGACACTGATGATGACAGAGCAAGTGTGTAAGAGAACTCAGGGTCCTTAGATGACCAAATCCAACACTGGCCTTCTCAAGCACCAATGAGTGACAATACACACATGTGGGCAGTGTATTTTCCAGGACAGAAAGGTAGCCTATTCTCATCCAGTTAGTCCTCCAACAGCAAGAGCTGCACATGCGGAATTCTGCAGTCCAGTCCCAGCTGCCCCATTTTGCTAAAGATCATCACAGTCATCTTTCATTGTTCATGATTTTATTCACAGAGTTTACTTAATGCAGTTGTAAGTGCTGGTATATACATAAAAGTGACCAGAGGGAGAGTCTTAGTCTGGAAGCTCCGCCGACACCGGTGCATGCTGGGTGACTAACGGCACCGGAAACAGCAGTGGCATAGTGTCCGTTATCACAACAACGTGCACGTCACCACACAATGACAGATGAACAGTGGACCTTGCAGACTAGGGCGGCCTGCGAGGAAGGACCTAGCAATGTAATTCTGAAAAAACTGGCCAGTGAGAACCTTATGAACAGCAGTGACACACTGTCAGATCTAGTGCCGGAAGATGAGCTCCTCAGGCAAGAAGGCACGCAAAATACAACGAGGAAGAGCGGCCTCCTCAGCTGATAGGGCACAACTCAAAATGAGAAGAAACAGCTGCAGACATTCATTAGTAATTAGAACGCTGAATGTACAAACTGAGAGTCTACGAAAAGTGAAGCTGTCAACAATGACACGGAATGCTTGAAGATCAATATCCCAGTCATTAGTGAGCTGAAATGAATTGGTACTGGCCATTCTGATTCGGACAATCAGGTGGTCTACTACGCGGGGGAATGACAAAGAGGAATGGTGTCACATTCCCTGTCACAAAGAACATTTCAAGATCCATCCTGACATACAATGCTGTCAGTGATGGGGTAATAGCCAGACATCTACAAGGAAAATCAGTTAATACACCTATTATTCAGATTTTCTCACCCACCACTAAGGCCCAGTATGAAGAAACTGAGGGCTTTTACCAACTTCTGCAGTCTGAAACTGACCAAACATGCAATCAAGATGCACTGATAATTATTGGTGACCGGAGTGCGAAATTGGAAACGAAGAAGGGTCAGTATTTGGAAAATCTGGCCTTAGTGACAGAAAAAACACTGGAGAGTACATGACAGAATTTTGCAAGATTGACTCACTCACTGCAAATACTTCTTTCCAACAACATAAATGGTGACCTCACACATGGACCTTGCCAGATGGAATACATGGGAATCAAACAGACTGTATTTGTGGAAAGAGATGATGGAGAAGCTTGGTATCATCAGTCAGAACAAGGTGAGGGGTTAGTGAAGAAAAGACCACCAATTGCTCACATACAAATTCAAGATGAAGCAGAAGGAAACTAAAACAAGTCCACAAGAGACAATGTACGACCTTGATTTATCCCACCTGAATTGAGAGACCATCTCAAGAATACATTTGACACTTCAAAGACTAGTGACTGAAGACTGATGAGCTGTGGGAGGACGTTGTACATGAAGACAGCCAAAGGTCATTATAAAAACAGGAAACGAAGACGACTGTAATGCATGTAGCAAGAGACTCTGAAACCTGCTGCTGAACAGAGCAGCTAAAGTGAATGAAGGAAATGATAAAATGTAAGAGCTGAACAGGAGGCTTTAGAAGGAGACTCAAGAAGACTAGTGTTATTATAACGAAATGTGTAAAGATCTGGATTTAGAGAACCAAAAGGGAGTAACACACTCAACATTTCTTAAATGAAAAAACTGAGGAAAAATTCAAGCCTTGAGTTGCGATACTGGCAGATTATACGGGCAAAATATTGAATGATGCAGCAAGCACCAGGAGGAGTCACTGTACCAAAAAGAACTGGTTGATGTTCATTTATTTCAAGAAATAGCATGTGATCAAGACCGGTGGTACTGAAGGAACAAATCCAAGTTGCACTGAAGGCACTGACAAAAAACAAGGTGCCAGGAATTGACGGACACCAAGTGAGATTTCCCAAAAAACAGATGCAGCACTAGAGGCGCTCACTCATACATGTCAAGAAATTTGGAGGACCGCTATCTGGCCGACTGGAAGAAATCTGTATTTGTGTCCATTCCAAAGAAAGGTGATTGAAGAGAATGTGGAATTATTGAGTAACACCATTAATATCACACACAAGTACAATTTCGCTGAAGGTAATTCATAAGAAGTTGGATTCAAAAACAGCTGCAGCAGTACCACATGGAACGGCCAGAATTCAAGTTGGATTCAGAAGCGGGTGTGGAATAAGGGATGTAACTGTCAGAAGGATCTTGGCTGAAAGCAAAGAATACTGGAAAAATGTTTACCTGTGTTTTACCGACTATGCAGAGGCATTTAACTATGTGGACCATAGCAAATTATGGGAAACATTGAGAAGAATGGGAATTCCAGAACACTTAATTGTGCTCATGAGGAACCTGTACACTAACCAAGGGACAGTTGTTTGAACAGAACACAGGTACAATGCATGGTTTAAAATCACGAAGGAAGTGCATCAGGGTTGTATTCTTTCACATTTATTCAATCTGTATGCTGAGCAAATAATCCGAGAAGCCGGACTATCTGAAGAATGGGGCATCAGGATTGGAGGAAGACTCAATAAGAACCTGCGCTATGTAGGTGACACAAACTTCTTTCTGAAAGTGAAGATGACTTGAAGCACTTACTGATGAAGATCAAAGAGTACAGTCTTCAGTACGGATTACACCACAACATAAAGAACACACAAACCCTGACAACTGGAGTAATTTTTGAAGTTGTCACGGATTTCATCTTATTCAGACCCACAACCAATGCCCGTGGAAGCAGCGGTCCAGAAGATGAAAGATGTGTCACAAAGGGCAAGTCTGCTGCAGGAGACCTCGAGTGTTCATGGAGCAGAGCTGCCCATTCGTGGTTTAGGGGGCGCCTATCCCAAGCCATGGCATCTGCAGCAGCCTCACATGCATGTGACAGCTGGCCAGAGAGGAAAGAAGACAGAAGAGCTGCCTCTGAATTACGCTGGTGAAGAACACTGAACACATCATACCCTGCCAGAAGAAAGAATCAACCTGTCCCAGAAGAAGTACAAACAGAATGCTCCTTAGATGGGAGAATGGTGAGACTTTGTCTCATATTCTTTGGATGTTATCAGGAGGGACCAGTCCCTAAGAAGGGTATCACGCTTGGTAGAGGGTCAGCGAAAAAGAGAAAGACTGTCAACAAGATGGACTGACACAGTGGCTGCGATGATGGGCTCCAACACAGCCAAGACTGTGAGGACAGAGCAGACGGGGCAGTGTTTCATGCCGTCGTCCACGGAGTTGCTACAAAGCTGAGCCGACTCGACGGTACCTAACAGCAGCAGAAGCGAAGAGAAAATGTAGGAACGAACAAGTTTACTGGATTGATCATTCGAATTCGTGTTTGTAAATCCAAAAATGAGAATGGCTTGCAATTATGGAGCAAAGCTGTATCTCCTCCTGCAATAACATCGTGGGTAGTCAGTATCTTCAAATGTATGTTTGTCTGTTTGTTTAACTTTTTATTGTGATTTGGGAGAAATTTTACAAAGCAGACTGTAGTTCATGAACTTCTGTTTTGTGACACTGGTTACATTCCCCGCAGTTTTACAGCTCTCCTCCCACTTCCTCCCTGTGCTGACCCCTTCCCTGTGTCCTTCCTGCCTCTGCAGGAAATGCTGGGGAAATGCTGCCCTTCTGCTCTCCCAAGCTGGACTGTTCTAAGGAGCGCTTCTCCCTGGAACAGGGGTTCAGCTCATAGGCCTATTGTCTGGCTGAGAGTTAAGCCATAGGAGTGAGTTCAATTCCAGGCCCAAAGGGTGACCAGTCTTAAGGGTTTTCACCAGTCTCTGTGAGACCAGTAAGCCTGGTCTTTTTTATGATTTTGAGTTTTGTTCCGTATTTTTTTCCCACTCTATACAAGATCTTCAATTTTGATCCTTTCTGAGCAGATGGCGCTGGTAGCCAGGCACCATCTAGTTCTTCTGGTCTCAGGGCCACATAGGCCGAGGTTCTCAGGGCCCGTAAGCCCTACGGACTGTTTCCACGCGTCTTTGATTTTCATCACTCTTCTTTGCTCCAGATGAGGAAGACCAATAGTTGCCTCTTAGATGGCTGCTCGCAAGCTTTCAAGACCCCATTCACTGTTCACTGAAGTGAGAACAATACTTCTGTACACCACGTCCCGCCAACTGAGCCCGATGTCCCCATTCGCTGTTCACTGAAGTGAGAACAATACTTCTGTATACCACGCCCCGCCAACTGAGCCCGATGTCCCCCGTGGCCATGGCCTCCAGGTCACAGGCCCAGCAGCCCACTCCCTCAAGGTTCTTATTTGTGGCTAAGAAGTTATCCTAACTTTGCCTCCTGTTATGTTTAAATGGAATATGGACATTTTTATAGCAAATACAAATACAAAAAAAACCCAAAAAAACAAAAACAAAACTCATTGCTGTCGAGTTGATTTGACTCACAGCGACTCTTGTTTGGGTTTCCGAGGCAGTATCACTACAGTAGACTGCCCAACCTTCCTTCTGAGGAGTGCCTGGTGGGTTTGAACCGCCAGCCTTCTGGTTAGCAGTCAGATACCTTAGGCACTACGCCACCAGAGCTCCCAATACAAATACTTATGTAGGACTACTCTCTGCCAAACCTTTGTGTGGTGGTGGGTATATTCTCATTTGCCTATCCACACCTGTCTGTCTATGTATCCACCCATAAATTAGTGTTTGCTGTTACTGATAACGCAGAACTGTGTATGCAGCAGTATTTGCTTTTATTGTCTAATGTACTGTGTTTTGATGATGCAAATGCAGGAAGGAGATGCAATGGTAAGGTGAGAACTACTAGAGATGAGTGTGATGTCCGGAATCAGTATTCACACGTGGCTGTGGTCACCGTCCACCCAGGACAAGTGGGCAGCCTCTTGCAGCATCCACCACACACTGCCTACATGGGTAAATACACCCTCAAACATTTGGGTTTGCCAAGTTCAAATTCTAGCTGAAATTTTTAGTAACGTTGTGCCTGTAATCCCTTTATTCTTACTTCTGTAAATTATTTGGGGCATAACTTACACGAATGGAAATAAGAAGAATGAACTGAACTCAGGCTAGCAGCGACGCGCAGGATGGCACGGGAGGCTGGGGGCCAGAACCATGTGCGGGCAGGGCCGGATGCTGCCTGCCTGCCCACAGTGTCCAGTGATAATGTTCTATTTTTCTCAGCCTATGGGTCTACAGCCAGCCAGGCTTAGCCCAGTGCTTGCCACACCCTGGGAGCTCAAAAGAAACCTCCATGATAAAAGAAGAGGTGATTTCATGACATTCTGGTCACTTGGACCCGACAGGCATTTATGGATGAACGAATGGCGCCACCAGGACTCGTGATGTCCCAGCAGCTGACACAACGCTGGCGCTCCTCAAACTGGGGTCACTGCCCCCACCTTTGCTGCAGTTACTCGCTTTGCCAACTTGTCTGAAAACGTCTTAACCACCGCATTCACTTAAAATAAAACTGGATGAAGACTGAAGCGACAGGAATGTGTGGCTCAGGCACAAACCCACCAGTGTTCTGGATCCCAGACTGGAACTCCGCAAGGCCTCGAGCTCCTCGGTCATCTTGGAGGCGAGCGCTTGCAGGTAGCCCCGGGCGTCCTTCTCGTCGCTGACCCTGGAGGAGGGCAGGAAGCAGAGAGGGTCAGAGTCCCGAGGTGCTGCTAGAGGAGCCGAGTAGACGCAGGAGCCGCCCAGCCTCACACCAGACCCAGAAGCCAGTCACAGACGACACTGAACTAGGAAACAAGGGTTGGCCCAGCCCACTCCTGCAGTCTCCCTGCCTGTCTCACAGAACCAGAATCTCCGACACTCAACTTGAGCCAATCCTGTTGGTAAGATTGTGGGCTGGCTCCCAACCGCCAGTCCAGTGTCATGGCACTCGTGACATGACACTGAAGGTCATGGGACACTAGGTGTCAGGAGGGTGGCTGTGAGAACTGTGCCTCGGCCTCAGAGGACCAGACTGTGGGGTGAAAGAAAATCAAGGCAACAGAGGAGGGAGGCTGAAGGCAGCCTGGCAGGCCTGGGGCACACGCAGGCTACAGCCGGTCGCTGGGGCCTGGCGCTAGCACCCACCACTGAATGATCTCCGCAATCTGGGCTTCCCAGTGGGCCACGGACTCCTTCTTGGCCGCCAGATCCTGCAGCTCATCTTCCAGTTGTCTATTTTGAGCCGTCAGTTTATCCACGAAGGAACAGAGCTGCAACGAAAGCAGTAACCCAGCATCCGTTAGGCGTGACGTCAGCACCACTGAAGCTCTAAGTTCTTCCGAAGCTCCTGAAAGCTGTCTTTACTCTTTATGAGCCTTCTCCAACCGAAGTTCAGAGTAAGAACTTTCTGAAAGGCTCTCACCTCAGTCACATTTCAATTTAAACCTGAACCTGAAAGTG